CTCATAAAAGCTGAGCTACTACAGTGCACAGAAAAATCACAGTCCGGTGGCTAAACTCGTGTGTTTTATAATTGAGCAGAAATGGACTTAATTCCCAGCTCTGCCATTTGCTAACTATGTGATCTTGAAAGCATTTCCTGGTCTCTCTAAGGCTCCACTTCCTCATCTGTAAAAAGGTCACAAGAACAGCACCTGCACAACCAGGGCGCTGGAAGAATTGAGGGAAGCAGAGCCTGCAGGGCTGGGCACGCACCTGGCATGTGAGGCTTCCGCGGACGGCAGCCTTTATTACCCAAGCTCATTAGACCAACAGGCATTTCCTCCATTCACCTGCATTACTATTGTGTGAATTCTGATTCCTCAGGTGCTGCTGTCATGCAGGAATTTGGCTCCTGAAGCAGGAGAGGACCAGGGAAATGGGGACAGCTACTCCCGGAAGTTATCACAGGGGAGAAGGGCTTAGAGCGCAACTTAATAAAAAGAGCATCACATCAATGCTTCCTGGGGCCCACTGGCACCCCCTGGAAGCTGCACATTCCCTCCCCAGCCAGGCCTCTGCTAGCAGCCTCTCTGTGCTAGAGGGAACCTAGGGACAGGGACAGCTCCAGCTGCAGGCAAGTTCCTAGAAAGTCCAGTGGAATGGATGTCATTCCTCTACTGTGAGTAATCGGCCCAAACAAAGCCCACTGGTATTTCCGAGTCCATTCCCAGTGCCCAGAGCTGGACCCAGTAGCTCAGCAGCTGCGAGGAGTGGACTGCAGATCTCGAGCACGCTGCCCTAGATTCAGCCTTGGGAAAAGACTCGTGGCCCCAAGCGGGGAAGGCACTCTCAAGGTCATCTCGTCCATGCTCCCGCCTCTGGGCCCAGCATTGTAAGACGCGGGGCCTGGGGACCCACGGTAGCCCAAGCGTGGGGACCAGGGAGTCTGAGGGAGGATTCTGAGGATATAAAGTGGAGCCAGGAAAAGGATGTTCCTTTCTCCATCACCTCCTTGAGCTTCCATTCGAAGGAGTTGCAGGAGAGGGGAAAGAAGTCAGGAAAGGAAAAGCTGAGCCTCCGAGGTGTCTCTGCCCCGACTTCTCTCCTGCTCCTCCTCTGGTCTCAGGGCAGGCCAGCCCTGTCTGCCTCCTATCGCTTTCCTCGCTTCTGGGCCACCAGTCTGTCGCATCCACCGTTTCTGGAAGTTCAGAGATAAAGCTATCCGTATTCTTTCGGAATAGCGGCAGCTGCTCTGTCAGTTCTGGGTGGTAGGGGTTTCCCTAACTGGGTTGCCGATGAGCCCAGGTCCCTCACACTGGGGAGGCAGGTCTTTGGCCTTAGCTCACTGGGTCACCCCAGCAGTTGTTCCAGGGAGGTCTTATCGCCACCTCTTGACAGACGAGGAAGCAGGAGCACAGCAACATGAAAGGACTTGCTCGGGACCCCTCGCCAATCGCGGTCCTTCCACTGCCTGGACACACCCCGCCGGGCATCTCAAGGCTGATTTTCAAGGAACAGAAACTTCCGCTGCTTCCTGTGCCTCGCCTGGCTCCCACCCAATATGAAAGAATGGCGCACTGATAGGTCACACGCCCCAGTTAATTGCTCCCTAGCTCCCACGGGAAAAGCCATAAAGTGTCCTTTCCAAAATGGTGACTGTCATTTCCCCCAGCCTAATTTAAGGCTGGCATTAACATTCCCCAGAGAGTTAACCTGGGCTGTGCTCCTGTGCAGTTGCTGTGCAGAAATGTTTCCTCCGTGTGCATTGCCTGCCTGTCATTTCTTAGCTTTTGCAGAGTGTAAGCTGTGGTCCTGGGGGAACAGGGCAGTAGGTAGGGTTGGGGGTCCAAGGGTCAGTGGCCCTCAAACCTGGTACCCTGTAAACACTCTGGTCATTTTGAATTTACCAGCTCAGGAAAGAAGATTCCTTGCAAGCGCACAGTTGCCTGTGGTCAGAGGGATGATCTCAAAGTGCTCTTAGTTCCTGGGCCAGCAGCCAGCTGCCTTGGATGGTCAGAAGGTGAAATTTGAATGCTGGTGAATGGGAGAGCGGAAGTTCAGCAAGGCTGAGTTAAGCCCATTCATGAAAAAGATCTGGTCTCACTTCCTTATTGCCGGGAGTCATGTGTGAAGTGTGCGCGTGTGTGTGCGCGCGCGCGTGTGTGTGCGCGCGCGCATGCATGTGAGCTTGATTACTTTCTGCCTCACTTCTTCCTCCACCTCTACTCTTTTCTTTTTTTTCCTCTCTCTCTGAAAATCTTAAGTTCATCCTCAGGAAACTGCCCAAGAATGTGTATCTGGTCTGTGGTTTGCTGAAAAAAAGAAAGAAAGATTCATACAAAAGCAATTATCTCTCTCTTTCACCCTGTCTCTCTCTGTCTGTCTCTCCCTCTCTGTCTCTCTCTCTCTGTGTGTCTCCCTCTCTCCCTCTCTCTCTCTCTCTCTCACACACACACACACACAAATACACACACACGCAGTTTCCAGGTTGTGCTGCATGCGCCTCCCTGGCTGTTCTCCCATCCAGTCGTGTCTGGCTTAGGGAGGTGAAGTCATCTCTGGGTGGGAGATATCCCGGTCAAAGGTGCGGTGGGAGGGCCATCAAGATTGACCCACAGGGAAAAAATTCAAGGTTATCCAGCTAGCTCCCACCTCAGTGGATCACATGGTGCCTCTGGCAGGCTGTGCCTCTGGCAGGCTGTGCCTCTGGCAGGCTGTGCCTCTGGCTAGTGGCGTGATTCCCAGCCGACTAGAAGCCTGCTGTGTGGCAAGTACCTCCCCTGTTATCTGTGAGATGGAGGTGATCATGATAGCGGGCTCCTCGTGGGTTATTGCAGTGATGAAGGTGACACACACAAGGTCCTCAGCACAGCGTGTAGTCATAGGTGATCTTGCTGAATGCCTCCAGGGCAGGGGAATCACCACCTCCAGGACAGCCTGTCCCATTTTCAGCAACACAGCAAAGAAGTCACCAACCCTGCTGGGGTTTTCAAGTCTTGGGAGGAATCGAGGCACTTCCTTTTCCTTTAGAAACAGAAACCGAGATGCTGACCAAGACAAAGTACGCACCCAGTGCAGTTTGACCTACCCAGATTCACAGGGGCCTCGCGGACATGTGCCTGAGGAAGAAGACGCACCTCAGGGAAGGATATGACACCAGAGCCCTCGAAATGATTGACTGGAGCAGGTGATTTTGAGCCTCAAGTACTTTCAGTTGTGACTCTCAGACTCTGATCGAGAAGTGCTTACTGAGCAGCCACAATGATTTCAGAGTAATCTGGGAGGAGTGCACCTGTCCTTCCGCTGAGCCTCCTCCGTGGGTGTGGCAGGTGGAAGGGCACATAGGTGCTTTCCCCGCCTGTAGCCAACATCCCCTGAGCTGTTGATGCCCTGTGAAATCTTTCTCGCTGATCCTGCACATTTGGAAAGCGCTGTCATGACAATTATTACTCACAACGTTCTCTTGCTGAGGGAGGATAGTCACTTGACATGTATTATTCTCCCCCGTTTTACAGACATGGAAACAGAGATCCTGGTGGTGGAGTTTGAAGCTGCTGGAATTCTCCAAGCTGCTCTCCCTGCCTTTTAGGGTGTTTCTCCAAGTGGTGCCGGTGACACAAAGAGCTGTTCTTATCCTCTCTCGTCCTGAGTTATTATCCAGTGAGTCGAGCGGAAGTTTCTAACCACCCCTCAAGTTTCCTACCAAGGAACTTAGGGAGGTGAAGTCATCTCTGGGTGGGAGATCATCCCGGTCAAGGCTGACCCAGGGGGAAAAAATTCACTGTTATCCAGTTAGGTCCCACCTCAGTGGACCACATGGTGCCTCTGGCGGGCTGTGCCTACGGCTAGTGACGTAATTTCCAAGCTGTAGGAGGCTGCTGTGCGGCAGGTACCTCTAGGTAATGTACCATCCCACATCCATGCGCTTGGTTTGCCTTGACCCTGGCTTTGGCCATGTGATTAACGTCCATCGGGTGCTTCCTAGGACAACAAGGAGTGGACACTGAGGCTGCAGACCCCAGGTGGAGAAGGATGGGCTCCCAAATAAGGATTCTCTCTCACTGCCTTCTTTTCCTTCCCCCTCCCTTCCCCTGTGTCCCCAAACCATCCATCGATAGTGAAAGAGAGGAAACATCTGGTCTGGGTTCCGCACCCCCACCCTGTGTCAGGGGGCTTGTAGGAAGAGATGGTTGGAGGTCTTGGAACCCTGAAATAAACCAACGGTTCAGCTGCCATCCTCCCCACCCACCATCCTGTCTTCCTCACCCCACCTTCATATCAGCCATCCTCCCAGCAACAGCCTGCACGGTGCCACCACCCAGCAGACAGCTGCTGCTGCCAGTTCCAGAAACGATAGAGATCCATGACCAAAGTGAGGCTCCAGAATGTCTCTGTCAAGACAATGGAGATGCTACGGTCACAGGGCCAGGGGGCCAGCAGCGGGGGGTGGGACTGGAGGGACAACTCTGCACGTACTTCCAAAACTCCATAAAAGAAGTCTTCCTCCAAACATCCTCTTCTTCCTTCCCTCACTGATCATAATGAACTATCTTTTATGGAATATTTCCTCCATGCCACGCACTTAAACAAATTATCTTGTTTATCATTGTAATGGCCCTACAGGGTTGGTATTCATTCTCTTCTTACAGATGGAGTCGAAGCACAGAGAGGTTAGTAAATTGGCCAAGTTCGTACAACTCTTGAGTGGCAGAGCTCGGATTCAAACCTTAGCAAATTCCAAAGTTCAGGCTCTCAGCATCGACAACAAACTGTCTCTCTGATGACTCCTCCATCCTTTGTCTCCCAGTTAGGCACACCAGGATTTAATCACCATCTCAAAAAGACTGGTCTCATTCAGCTGTCCTCTTCTTCCTTCCTTCATTCACTTCAATCACACGTTCGTATACCAAGTAAAAGACTTACTGTCTACCATGTGTGTGCTAAACACTGAGAAAGAACAAAATATTTTAAACTCCATTCCTCTACTAGAGATGTGATCATTTGGGAAGCATGATCGATGGCACAGCAGAGAGTAAATATTCCCAGACCTGAGAGCAAGAGGGATCACCTCATTAGCTCTGACCTCTTCTCGCCTCCCTGCCTCCCAGTTCGCCCTGTGGCTTTGAAAGATGAATACCCGGTAAGCCTCAAGAGTGAGGGATGTGATGTGGTGGTTGTTCAGAGAAAGACAAGGTCCAGGGGCCGCCTGGCCTTGCTGTAGGGGTGGGGCTCCAGCAGAACCTTGAGTGATGGCTGGTGACGCTCTTCAGCCAAAAGCATAGGCGCAAATGCTTGATGCCAGTTGGAGGAGCAGTAAATCCAAGAGACACTGAGAAAGACAGACCACGTGCAGGAGAAGCTGTGGTTTACAGGCAGAGACGAGATTATAAAGGAGTGTTGGGGTCTCGCTGGATGAGGTCCCAAGTGGCTGCTGAGTGGCTGGCTTTATTCCTGCATGCCACGGAGAGGTCACACTTCCTATCGTGTGTCAGGATGTCATCTCCGGAAGAACAGAGGGAGGAGGGTGGGCTTAGTGACTGTCCTGTGGCTGCAGCCCCCCTGAGGCTGCAGATGCCATAGTTTCTGGGTATGCTAGAGAGTTGATGAGGAGCCTGGGGTTGGCAAACCTGGGTTTGAAGCCAAGCCTCACTGTCACTAGTAGAGGTGAGCTTGAGCAGGTGTTTTAACGCCTACTAATACCTACTCTACACGCTTGTTGTGAGAGTTCAATGAAATATGGGTGTCGAGAATGTATTAGTAGCACAGTGCCTGGTACATCAAACACTCTTGCATAGGCAGCTATTGGCCCAGATTGTCCTCCTATCCTGGTGTCTGGGTGATTGGCCAGTTTACTAATTGGTTAAAGAGTATGAAAATGTCCAGCAACTAGTGTGACTGGATTCTTACAGACTCTCCCTCCATTCTTTTTGTTTTGTTTTGTGTTTTTGAGACAGAGTTTTGCTCTTGTTGCCCAGACTGGAGTGCAGCGGCATGATCTTGGCTCACTGCAACCTCCGCCTCCCAGGTTCAAGCAATTCTCCTGCCTCAGCCTCCCGAGTAGCTGGGATTACAGGCACCCACCACCACTCCCGGCTAATTTTTTTTGTATTTTTAGTAGAGACAGGGTTTCACCATGTTAGCCAGGATGGTCTCGATCTCCTGACCTCGTAATTTGCCCGTCTCAACCTCCCAAAGTGCTGGGATTACAGGCGTGAGCCACAGTGCCCACTCTCTCCCTCTATTCTTTTTTTTTTTTTTTTTCCCTGAGACAGAGTCTCGCTCTGTCGCCCAGGCTGGAGTACAGTGGCACATTCGTGATCTCAGCTCACTGCAAGATCTGCCTCCTGGGTTCACGCCATTCTCCTGCCTCAGCCTCCCGAGTAGCTGGGATTACAGGCTCCCGCCTCCACACCCAGCTAATTTTTGTATTTTCAGTAGAGACAGGGTTTCACCATGTTGGCCAGGCTGGTCTCAAACTCCTGACCTCAGGTGATCCATACATCTCGGCCTCCCAAAGTGCTGGCCCGGCCCTCTCCCTGCATTCTTAAGAGGTCACCTAGGAAAATGCCTCCATGTTCTGTGATGTTGTGTTTTGGCTGGGGGTGAGGTGGACTTCTCTCCACCAACAGAAAACCCTCAAGCAGCATAATGGGCCGTCAACATCTTGCTAGAACGCTGCACAACAGTGTGCACGCACACACACACACACAGCCTCAAAAAACAGCTTGCCTGATGGATGAAGCCTTAGCATATGTAGAAAGAGAATATTTCTCAAAGACATACGATGGATGTGCATACGGGTGGATGGTACGTACATTGGACACTAAAATGCACCCTTTTCCCATCTACTGTGCCCCAGATATTTGGAAATGAAGGGAATAAAACTGCTCTTGGAAACCATGAAATGAACACACAATGCATCAGAGCCAAACTTGCAATCACTCAAGAAAGAATGATTCTCAAGGCATCGAGCCCCCCGGAAGTTAATTGAAAGGCTGTCTACAGAAAAGATGGTCAGTCCTTAGGGAGACGTAGGTCAGTAATGACCACACAGAAAAGGAGAGTCCTCGAGAAAACCCAGAGCCCTGACCTGGAGGAAGAGGACATTGGTCCTAAAGGTGCCTGTGTCTTTTTTGTGGAGATGGGCACTCAGATTATCATCACCTGATACGATTATGCATTTTAATTTTCCAACTAACCTCAGTGTTTTCACTCTGTACTCAGCAAGCAGCCATGTGACTGTAACCTGGCTTCCCAAGTACTTGGTCCTCAAGGAGAGAATGGGTGTTAGCCCCTCGGCAGTTCCATTCCGATGTCCACGGCTGGCTGGTAGGGTGAGTCAGCATCCCCCACAGCAGTCCCGTCTGCCCTGGGCCACTGCTAGGACCCAGCATTTGAACAGTAGGACAGAGGGCTGCAGGCTGGCCCAAGGCACACCGCGATGAGCTGGTCTTCCTAGGAAGCTCCCAGCCTTTCCGTTCCATGGCGCTGTCAGACTGTACCTCTCTATTTCAAAACCCATCAGAATACATCAAAGCCCTGCCTGTTAGGTAAGTATTATTATGCTCAATTTTATAAGCAAGGAAATAGAGATTCCAAAGGGGTAATTAACTTGCCCAAAGGCACTTAACCTAACAAACCAGCCTGGATTCCAAACTTGTTCTGACTCTAAAGCCTGTGTTCTTTTTCTTACTTCATGAGGCCCCTGACTTCAAGGACTTTCCTCTCCAGTGTATCTTTAAGTAAGAGAGTGTGTGTGGGAGGTGAGGTGGGGGAGAGGGATGAGAATGGTCCCCTGCCTGAAGCTCCCCTCTGTGACTGAGAACCCAGTCTGTAATCTCTTCTTCACTTTTTTTTCCTTTTGAGATGGAGTCTCGCTCTGTCGCCCAGGCTGGAGTACAGTGGCGCGATCTCGGCTCACTGCGACCTCCACCTCCCGGGTTCAAGCAATTCTCCTGCCTCGGCCTCCTGAGTAGCTGGGATTACAGGCATGTGCTACCACACCCGGTTAATTTTTATATTTTTAGTAGAGATGGGGTTTCACCATGTTGGTCAGACTTGTCTCGAACTCCTGACCTGGTGATCTGCCTGCCTTGGCTTCCCAAAGTGCTGGGATTACAGACGTGAGCCACCATGTCCGGCCTCTTTTCTTTCAAGGGTAGGATGGGGACAGCACTAAGGGCTACCTCTATCTCCAGCAACATTCTCAGGTGCTCCACAAGGAGGAGTGGAAAATGATGTTTAGGAGTGAGCCGTGCCTGTCCCTCCTTTTGTTGCTCAAACTTCCGCACCTGCAGTCACCCTCACTTCCCCGAGATGCTTCCAGGTGGATGGAGGACTGATGACCCTGACTCCAAGCCAAGAGGACAGGGTTAGTGCTCCATCCCTTTCTCCCAAATACCATCCTGTTTGAACAACTGATTTTCATTCAGTTTCCACCTTAAAACACAGAACACTATCAAACCATTGAGGTCACCTGTGGCTCTCTCCTGAATCCTACTGAACTCCCTCACTCTCAGATATTTCTGAAATACCTACTTATAAAAATAGTTTTGGCCGGGAATGGTGGCTCACTCCTGTAATCCCAGCACTCTGGGAGGCCGAGGTGGGCAGATCACCTGAGGTCAGGAGTTTGAGACCAGCTGGACCAACATGGTGAAACCATATCTCTACTAAAAATACAAAAATTAGCCAGGTGTGGTGGCGGGAGCCTGTAATCCCAGCTACTCTGGAGGCTGTGGCAGGAGAATCACTTGAACCTGGGAGGCAGAGGCTGCAGGGAGCTGAGATCACACCATTGCACTCCAGCCTGGGTGACAAGAACAAAACTCCATCTCAAAAAAATAAAAATAAATAAATAAATGTTTTAATTTGCATATTCTAATGACCAATGATGTTGAACACCTTTTCATGCACTTTTTTGTAATTTGTGTCTCTTCTCTTGGGAATTTTCTGTTGGAATCTTTGTGCCTCTTTTTTATTGGATTCTTTACTTTCTGATTATCGTGTTGTGCGTGTTCTTTATATATTCTAGATACCAGTACTTTATCAAATATTATATATATAAAAAACAAATATTTTCTCTCATTCTGTGACTTGTCTTTCTAGTCACCTAATGTTAGCTTTCAAAGAGCAGAAGTTTTTAGTTTTGTTGAAGCCTATTTTATTCCTTTTTTCTTTTACAGTTAATGCTTTCGGTGTCTTCTAAGACACCTTGAATAACCTAAAGTCACAAAGATTTTCTCCTGTTTATTTTAGAAGTTTTATAGTTTTAGGTTTTACATTCAGGTCTCTGATTCATTTTGAGTTAGTGTTTATATATGGTGTGAGGTCTGAATCAAGGTTTATTCTTTTTTCATTTGGGTGTCTAAATGCTCCAGCACCAGTTTTGTTGAAAAGTCTGTACTTTCTCACTAAATTACCTTGATATGTTTGTCAAAAATGAGTTGACTACATATGTGTGATTGATTTCTGGGTTCCCTATTCTTTTCCATTTATCTATGTCTCTATTACACCATAGACCAAAACTACAATGTCTTGATTGTTGTAGCTTTCTGGTAAGCCTTGAAATTAGGATATTGTTCATTTTTTGATGTTTATATAAGTGGAATCATACTGTACGTATTCTTCATTTACTTTTTTTGCGACATTAATTTTGAGATCTATCCGCGTTTGGTGATAAATCTATCTATCTATCCAGGTGATGCATACCTCCAATCTCTTCATTTTCATAATTGTATAGTGTTCCTTTGTGTGTCTATACCGTAATTTTGTGTCATTCTACTGTTGGTTGACATGTAGATTGCTTATAGATTTCAGCTGTCTCACACTATGCTGTGTGAACATTTGTGTACATGTTTAATAGTGTACATGTTCAAAGTTTCTCCCGGGTTAGAACCTAGGTATGGAGTTACTGGGTCTCCAGGTAGCAAGATTCGTATGCCGTGAGCCTTCGCCTGTGCTAGAGAAGACCAGACCGTTTTCCAAAGTCTCATACCCATCTTCACACCCGGCAGCAGTGCCTGAAAGTTTTCAGTGTTCCTCCTTATCTAGGCTTGGTGTTGGTAGACTTTTTAACTTAAAAATCCCACTTTGTGGGCCGGGCGCGGTGGCTCACGCTTGTAATCCCAGCACTCTGGGTGGCCGAGGCGGGTGGATCACGAGGTCAGGAGATTGAGATCATCCTGGCTAACACGGTGAAACCCCATCTCTACTAAAAATACAAAAAATTAGCCGGGCGAGGTGGCGGGCGCCTGTAGTCCTAGCTACTCGGGAGGCTGAGGCAGGAGAATGGCGTGAACCCGGGAGGTGGAGCTTGCAGTGAGCTGAGATCCGGCCACTGCACTCCAGCCTGGGCGACAGAGCAAGCGAGACTCCGTCTCAAAAATAAATAAATAAATAAATCACACTTTGTGGTTTCAGTTTGCACATCCCTGGATATTAGAGAGGTTAAACATCCTTTCTTAGACCCTTTGGCCACTCAGCTTTCCTTTTATATAAAACACTTGTTTGTGTTTTTTGCTTATTTTTCTATTAAGTTGTGTTTTTCTTACTGATTAGATGAATTCTTTACATATTCTGACTACTAATACATTTCTCAGTCTGTAGCTTTTTGTTCCTTTAATGGTGACTTGATGACCAGAAGTTCTTCATTTTAACATGATCAAAATTATCAATCGCTTCTCTTTTGTTATTTTACATCTTGTGCTCTGTTTATAAAATCTTGCCATATCTTAAATTCATAAAGATCCTTGCTAGTGTTTTCTGCTAAAAGGTCTAAAGTTTTGACTTTTATATTTACCTTTTAATTCATCTTAAGTTTTCAAAAATTGCATATATTGTGTGAGGTATGGATGCAATTTCACATGGAAAACCAGTTGTTCCAGCACCATGTATTGAATACTGTGTATTTTCCCCACTGAGCTTCAATGACCATTCTGTATTATATCACGTTTCTAAATATGTATGAATTGGTTTCTGAACTGTATCATGTTCCATTGGTCTATTTGTTCTTTTATCAGTACCAACTGTCTTAACTACCATAGTTTTAATTTTGTTTTTTGTTTTTGGAGAGAAGTCTCGCTCTTGTCCCCCAGGTTCGAGCGCAGTGGCTTTATCTCGGCTCACTGCAACCTCCGCCTCCCGGGTTCAAACGACTCTCCTGCCTCTGCCTCCCAAGTAGCTGGGATTAAGGCACCTGCCACCATGCCTGGCTAATTTTAGTAGGGACGGGATTTCACCATGTTGGCCAGGCTGGTCTCGAACTCCTGACCTCAGATGATCCACCCGCCTCGGCCTCCCAAAGCGCTGAGATTACAGGCGTGAGCCACCGCGCCCGGTCAGCCATAGCTTTTGAATAAGTCTTGATGTTGAATAGGATAATCTCCTCCCCTTGACTTCTTTAGGAGTTACTCAGCTATTCCTGGTCTTTTGTGCTTCAGTTAAATTTTGAAATCAGACTGCTACATTCTACCAAAACGAAAAACAACCCAACTGCTGGTGTTTTTTGTTGCAATTTCACTGAATCTAAAAAAAAGAAAAAATCAAACTCAGGAGAATTTGCGGTGGCTCATGAGTGAATCTTCCTACGCCAGCCGTGGCTTGTCTCTTCGTTTTATGCAGTCATTCCAAATGAGGTTTCAGAACTTTCTGTGTTTTTCCTCATAAAAGGCTGGCACATCTGTACAATATTCCTTGGTATCTTATTTTTTGTTTCCCTTGTGTTATCTTTTTTTTTTTAAGTGAATTCCCTGGTGGTGCATAAAAATGAACTTTGGTATTGTGATCTTTTATCTGACAACTTTGATAAACTTCCCTATTCATCTTAGTTTTTTTGTTTTGTTTTGTTTTGAGACAGGGTGTCGCTCTGTTGCCCAGGCCAGGGTGCTGTGGCAGAATCTCAACTCACTGCAGCCTCAACCACCTGGGCTCAAGCAGTCCTCCCACCTCAGCCCTGAAAGTCGCTGGAACTACAGGTACGCACCATTGCACCTGGCTAATGTTTGTATTTTTTGTAGAGATGAGATATCATTATGTTGCCCAGGCTGATCTCGAAGTCCTGAGCTCAGGCAGTCCACCCACCCTGGCCTCCCAAAGTGCTGGGATTACAGGCATGAACTACCATGCCTGACCTCATCCTACTAATATGACTTAAAAATACTTTAGGTTATCTCTTTCTTTCCTTTCCATTTCTTATAACTTTCCGTTTCCTTTTCTTTCATAGTGTACTGGCCAGAATTTCCAGCAACATTGAACAAAGCAATGAAATAATAGC